GCAGTCAGCCTTCCATTTCAAACACCTAGGTATTTAGCCGGAGTTAATCCTGCAAGAGTTACAAGGAGTATACACTTGGTTACACCAGAATTAGAACTTTACTTGTTATACCCTGAGCACGGTATATTAAGTTTGCCACGAATTTTCAGCACCCAGAAGGAAACGTCGGAGACCTTATAAAATATACAAGGAGCGTTCCAGTAAACAGGACTTAAAAAGACAGAACAAATAAGCTTTATCGGCAAAATCAATTAATTTGATTCAAAAATAGTTCTTCTGCTATAATACAGCTTTAGCACGGTCCAAAAGCATGTCGTACGAGTGTTTTAGCTCGTTGTCGGTATGGCCGCCGGTATGCTGGTGTAAGCCTTTGAATGGCCTCCAGGTCTGCATTCCTTTCAAAAGGTGTAGTCGCAAGGTGTCATATCAGGTGAATACGGGAGTGGTTGATTGTTAAATGATTTTGGTCAAATAATCACACAAGCGTCGATAGATGAGACGGGGCATTATCGTGCAACAAACGCCAACTTAATCTTTCGCAATATTCGGGCCGAACACGTCGAATACGGCGCACCAAACGTCAAAACCTAAGGTAGAATACCATTAACGTTTTACCGGTGGAACAAATTCTTGTGGACAATACCCTTGAATAATAAAACAAATCAGCATTGTTCACTTTGGCTTCTCCATGTATGATTTTGGGTTTCGGTCATTTCACTTATAACTCACGACCACTTTGAAAAACGATGAAACCACTCTTGTTCGGTTACGACACTAAAACGCAATAACTTCACTTCAATAGATGAAATGTCATGAAATTTTTACTGAATTCGATAAAGGATAGCAGATCAGCGCACTAGTCAGATATAGATGGCGCCACTAGAGCTTACTTTGTTTTTACTGTTTACTTTGAACACACCTTGTATATATAATAGATCAGCGTGACTATATCAGCGTCTGTATATACACGAAGTAGTCTCTCAGTTTCGAGATATCGATTTGAATTTTGCACTTTCTTCTCTATTTTCATACGCGTTACAAGGTAAATCAGAAGTTTGTTTTTAAATTTGTTAATATTTTCACTTTTACAATAATCAAATTAAACACATAAAAATATGTTGAAAAATGAAATTAGAACTCAAGTACTAGATGTTGGTATATGCTGTAAAGCTGCAGCCATCTTAAACTATAAGTATATAATAGTAAACCGCTGACTACCTGTATCGGTAAATTAAAATTGCTAATAGAAGTAGTACTATATAAACTTGTGGAAAAGCGAGTTAGAATGTTTAAATAAATTGTTAAGAAGTATCAGTATAACGAAAGTAAAGGATTTAAATCAGCGGATTCAGCGCGAGCTGAACAGAGTAGAGTTCTGGAAATAGGAACTCACAAATTTGATTAAAATACAATTAGTTGCCTTGTCTCAATTCTTGAATAGTACTATAGCTCAGCATTCAAACATAGAGCAATTTAATAACACTTCAACGCATAGCGCGCGTTCATGGACGTGCTTAAAAGTATATCAGTATCTCGTTTTGAGTTAAAACTAACTAACCTACATAGCCACACCATTTTACAAAGTCCTTGTTTGGTAGAGTCCAATGGAAAATTATATATCATCAAACAACAATTGCAGAAATTATCAAATTTTCGTTCTTAAATTATTGGCCTTAGTATCGTTTCTGTGCTCATTTATACTCATCTTTTCTTAAATTTATTAACGAATTAAAAGTTTTAAAAATTATAAATATTCAATATTTAAAGTAAGCAAGTTACTCTAAAATATAGTATCATACTGAACTTCTACTTATTCTAAAATTGATGGAAACATGTCAACTCTATCGATCTTAAATCTACTGCATATAAAGTGCTAAATTTAACACATTTATCATTCATGTCCCAAAATGGAGAAAAGATTACAATATACCCAAGCGCAGTCCTGACGATGATACATAGTATCATGCGAGGTGCGTTGATTGGTGTGGTATGTGGACTATACGCGCCTTCTATAACCTATCATGTATTGGTATCGTAAATATCCATGTTGGCAATGAGGATACTTTTGGCTAATGTTTTGACTCACTTTGTGCCAGAGTTGCAGATTTTCTTAATGGGACCTTTATTCGTCAACATCGAGCTTGCAATGCATGTTCGGTTCAAAAACTCAATGCACCATACATATGTTGATTTTAATTTATCTAACTGTGATTTTGTATCTTCTATGATTTTAATTTTATTAGACTTTCTTATACGTTACTTGAACATTGTGGAATAACATTTTCACAAATAATTAGTTAAATTATTATTTTATAAATTAAACGTTTTAAACACGTGCTGTTGCTACATAGTATAATAGTTTGTTTACTACCGGTTGTTTGCATCACCTAAACTAATAAAGATACTTATAATTATATTAATTATCACTTGCGGGATTAGTTAAAATCTGTCTATCTGTGCAAGTTGTACCTGAGTAAAATTTAAATATTTTGATTATCCTGGTATACGGATTTCATGCACTTAAGGGTTGGTATTGCTTATCGGCGGAATCGAACTATTGCCACGCCCACAAGCCGTAATAAATCGAAAACCCCTAAAGCGCCATAAATAAATTCCACAATAAGATGTAAGACGATACTTACTCGGGGCAAATAATATTACTCTGACAGTCCTATGTTACTGTTGGAATCCTACAAACACGCCTACTTCCCGTTTAACATCGCTTTAAATTCCATCTGATTCTTTCACTTGTCAGTATGCAAATCAGGCACCAGTGAATGTTAGGCTTAGTGCCTTTAAGACTATTCAAGCCTCAAGATATCGAATATGTGGACCCTAGTTCCAATTGGGAAATTTAAATCGATAATATCTGTCAATCTATGAGATATATTATAGAAACTCGGAGAGAATCCTTTCCTGATATTAGTATGTCTTATGCTAAATATGGGTTGAACCGGGTCGAGGAGTATAGACTTCCCATTACTTAATATAAAGACTTCCGAACTTGCGGTTGACTTTATATCTCATGTCTCGGCGAATATTTGAGTTATCTAAATGAAAATGAGACAGCGTTTTACTCTTAACAAGGTATCTTTGTGCTTAGAAAGGATCAAATCGGTTGAAAATTTTACCTTACTCCCATGTAACTAATATCAGGATTTTCGAACATTCGACTTAACTCCATATGATTGGTGATGGTATGGGACGTACCTTAATGAAACAGTGGGAGCATCTTTTTAGTCTGTGGTATGTTAGTAGTATGTGTTATTGGCAAAAATGGATAAAATCGGGGTAATACTGCATGCTACCCTCAACTTCCATGTACTACTTATGGTTTTCGTTATTCTAACCAGGTTTATGCCTAATTTGTTGGACAGTGAGTATTAATATTTTTTTTTTGTGTATGCGTGTATTGTTATACATTTAATGTTCAAAGTATTGCTCTTTATAGCACTTTTCTTCATGTTAAAGTAATGAAGAAGAACTCCCCGCAAAAACACTTTATCTGGTACAAATTTCTACATTTTCAAATGAATGAAACAAATGAGTTGTTCACGCTAAAACAAATGACATGTACTGAAAACAACGCGAAATGACAGTACCTTTGAAATGAATATAGCCACAGATGAACACGACGCGAAATTACTAGTAGAGAACTCTCTTAGAAAACCGCACGAATTAATGCATACACCCCATACATATAATATAAAATTGCTTCAAAATATGTTCTCGAGTAAAGCTGAGCAAGGTCGGCAGAAATTCCCCACTGAACCCTACCCGAGGGTGCCGACTTGTAATAGATACCACAGTTTCACGAAGTAAGCGGGGACGGGCTGGTAACAGACCGCCCTGCCGTAGACGTGAGGAATCTAGCTAAGGTCAGACTTCTTACCTGTTTGTTTGATGTTCCTCAATAGCACAGCATACAGGTAAGGAGCCTTACCATGGTCGGGGGTACTATGAAGGGCTGGATCAAGGTGTCATGCGACCCGTGCCGAGGATCAACTTGGCTGGGGGCCCTTAAATAGCCCAGTCTCAAACGGAGCTTACGGATACCTGGCGCCCTCCGTAATATGATAGCCTTACTTGCGTAGCGGAGGCTATGCGCAAGCGGACACACTTTCCCCCACACTCGTGGGACCATTTATGAACCTAAACAAAATGAACAAAAATAAACATACAAGGGAGCCCGGATCTTCACCACAAAAAATCTGGAGGGAGCTAGTTGCTCCCATAAAAGAGCAGCGTTTGCAACGAGCTCGGCAACAATCGGCAAGAGGACAGGAGCGAAGCTTGGTCCCGCAGATAAGGCAGGCACAAGGAAGGGGGCAGAAGCTAAAGCTAGCCCTAAGAAAGTAGTAGCGCCGGAGGTAGCCAGGCCCAAACCCTGCAGTCAAAACACGACTGAGAAGCGGTGGGAGGGGGGAGATGCCAAAGGGGCTGCTACTGGAAGTGCATCTGACAGAGAGTGGCCTGCATTCAATATTCAGGACCCGGCAAAGGCAAGGTATGCGGAGAGACGACGCGCCGCATACCTATTGAGGTTAGCATCAATTGACTGCGGGAGGGCGGTCATACCTAATTTTAAACTGGAACCTCCAGTAAAGGCAGCAAAGCGACAGAGGTCAGCTGAAGAGGTTAAGCCGTCAGCCAAACGACCGAAAACAAAGGGCGTGATGCCCGCAAAATCATTTGCAGAAGTGGCCCGGAACCGAATTGTTATTGGCGTTCTGGATGAGGGGGACCCCAGAGCCCAATGGAAATGGGTGCAGGCTGCGCTGACAAATGTGGCGCTGGAAGTGCTACTTAGCAATCCAGGTCCGCCACCGTCATGCACAGCTGTCGGCTGGTACCAGGGCCAGATTAAAATGATTGCATGCGATGACGAGAGATCGGTCGCTCTATACAGCTGCTATAGCCACGATAGGGGAGGTGTACCCGGGCGCAAAACTGATAGCAGTGGATAAAAAAGATATGCCATCCAGACCAAGGGCAAGGGTATGGATCCCGGCTACACAATTTCGTCAAGGCGATTGACCAAAACGGCCACGATGCAGATTCTGCTACTACTAACAAACGATTCCATCGAACCGCTGGCGAAAAGTGGCGGGGAGATAAACTACGGATTAACGAAATTGAGGATTACACCGTACAAGTCGGACGCCGATGATGCAGTCCATCTAGCATCGGAAAGCGAGACATGCGAAGTAGAGGAAGATTCTATGGAGTCCTCGAGCGATGTAGAAAGTACAGAGCAAGGTGAGTGTTCTTCCGAGTCTGAGCTTGCTGCCAGACTCTTAAACTTGTATACTGAGAGAGAGCTTTTAAGCGACTCAGTAAGCTGGGAAACGAGCACATGCAGGCTGGTGTCGTGCTATATGCCGTACGAGGAGGATGGTAAAAGAGGTGGTCAGGGATAGCGAGGCATCCAAGTGCATGATAATACTTGGATGCGACTCAAACGTGCATCGCAAAGTCTGGGGCAGCTCAGATGTCAACGACAGAGGTGAGTGACTCTTCAATTACCTATTAGGCACTAAGCTATTGCTGTGTAATAAGGGAAGCACGCCAACATTTATTACAAGAAACCGAAAAGAAGTACTGGATATCACACTTGTGACGAAAGTACTATTTGACAGAGTAACCCAATGGAGAGTCCTCGAAGAACATTAATTTTCGGATCACTGATATATTGAATGTACATTAGAAGAAAGGGCCGATAGAGGCATGAACTTCAGGAATAATAGGAAAACGAACTGGCAGGTGCACATGCAAGAGCTGGAAAAACGTATCCCTATGATTCCGCCGTTTCAGCCCAAAGGTAAGGAGGATCTCGACATCCTCGCTGATCAATTCACTGAATCTTGCCGGCAAGCACTAGAAGTGGCTTGTCCAATAACACGAAGTAGAGGTAGAATTAGGCCACCCTGGTGGTTTCTCGAACTTAAAAAGTTACAGAAAGAATGCAGAAAGCAGTTCAATTTAGCAAAACAATCCCTAAGGCGATTCAGCCTGGGATTATTACTACAACCTCCTTAGGTCATACAAGAAGGAAGTTAGGAGAGCAGAAAGAAATTCTTGGAAATCTTTTTGTAATGATATCAAGAACACGGCGGAAGCGTCTCGACTTAGGAAAATAATGGCACAATCTGTGCATAGTATCGGTTATCTTCAGAAGCCAGACGGCAGCTGGACGGTATCCAGTGAAGAGTCACTGGAACTACTAATGGATACCCACTTCCCAGGAAGCTCTGAAAGCCATACTGTTGAATATACTCAAGACAGTGAAGCAGAAATAAACTCCTTTCTTATAAGAACAGTATCAGAAAGCAACGTACGCTGGGAAATAAATAGCTTCAAGCCCCTCAAGTCGCCGGGACCAGATGGTCTATTCCCGGCTCAATTACAGCAGTCACAGAATTACATAATAGATTGGTTGGTAACCATTCTTAGGGGGCGCTGCAATTAATCTATATCCCTTCGCTGTGTAGAGTAGTCAAGGTACGCCTAGACAGGCACTAAACGTCATTCTACATTTATTGCCAACAGACCTGTTTTGTAAGCAAGTAGCAGCAAAGTCTGCTCTCAGACTAAGATAGAATTGAAGCTAAATTCCGTCCACAATGTTGCCTTCCCCACCAGAGAGGAGTGGGAAAGGGACGAGGTGGACAGGAATCCAGGAATTAGCATCTACACGGATGGATCCAAACTAGATAATCGAGTGGGAGGTGGTGTCTTCTCCGCAAATTTAGACACCAAAATAGCCTTCCGCTTACCAGACCACTGCAGTGTTTTCCAGGCGGAGATCACAGCAATCAAAGAAATCCTTGTTGTATTGACAAAAAGTGTGCTCACAACAAGGAGCATATACATTTATACGGATAGCCAAGCGGCCTTGAAATCACTCAAGTGTTCTTTGGTCTCATCAAAGATAGTGAAAGAATGTCTTGATCTATTAGAAGATCTAACATCCTACTTCACAATAAATCTGCAATGGGTTCCAGGGCATAGTGATATCCCTGGAAACTGCGAAGCAGATGAACTAGCCACAACAGGCACCGAGTTACAATTAACCCCTAAAAAAGAGGGAATTTTTATGCCCCTGGCAACTTGTAAACACTTAATCGACGAACATGCTATAAATATAGCAGAGTCTCGGTGGAGACAATCAATAACCTGCTCAACTAGCAGCCTAACGTGGCAGGAATGGAGCATGAGTTGTACAAACCGACTATTAAAATTCAAAAGGAATGATATAAGAACTCTGATTGGGGTACTAACAGGTCACTGTCTAATCGGTAGACATGCCAGCAGGCTAGGTGTACCTTACAACGATTATTGTAGAAGCTGCCAAGAAGTAGAAGAAGAGGAGACAGTAAAACATCTTCTATGCGAATGTAAAGCTCTATGCAGGAAAAGAATCGCAACTATACTGATGTGCTTCATCAGGAGCACAGGTTGGTTCAGAGAGGAGACGATAGAGTGAGGGAACAGTAGTCCCGGTGTTATCACAATGGGGCTCCCATATGCCTAGGTGCGTCGTTAGACAGCCACTCTACCCACCTACCTACCTAAAGCTGAGCAATGTAAAAATTAATATCTTTCTCTATCCCCAATATATATATATGATTTCCACCTTTCCACCTGACTTTAAACCGTTCCGATCTATTGTATCAAAATGAGTTATTTTAATGAAATTAAGTATATAAGTTGTCTTAAAAACTATGTGGTTTGACGCTTAATTAAAATGAAATTAATATATTATATATTAATACTAGGCGAGCGAGCGAAGCGAGCGTCCCGGAGCGCAGCGTCCGCCCCCCGCCGAGCGCGAGCTAGCTCGCTCTTATGTTAGTTGATTCTCGACAGCAGCAGAAAACTTTTATATATAATAGAGAGATATTAATATATACCTTGGTTTAAACCTCACACCTTTATATAATGAATTCCAATTCGCTGGTTGACGTTTTCCACATAAGCTTATATTATAAAATTTAGCCACTTTGGTCGAGTTAATATCACATTCATACATATGTATATCTCAGTTAAAGATGTTTTTTTTTTAAATATAATTTTCGCTGACGTGAACTGAAATATAGCAATAAAACTGGGACAAATTAATACAATAATATAGTTTTTAAATTTGTAAATATTTATTATGTTTAAGCTAAACATGTATATTAATATCGGTATAATAAACAAAAATGTTTTTTCATCAAATAACGATTTCTTTTCATATTCCTCAATACAGTTGTAATGCATTCTGAATAAATGTATACACCACAGGGATATTCATTTCACTTTCGTCACTTAGAATTGCTTTAATTAGTTAAATGAAAATGCCATTTCTTTCGTGCGAAATATTTTATTAAAACAAACCAGGTATTATTTTAATAAGCAGGTAATTATAAATTATTGAATTGAGCATGATCGAATGAATCGAAAATTGATGATTGAATGACGTGGTATTAACGAAAGAGATGAAATGGCGCTCAGGTCCGTAGACGATAAGCGAATGTTTGCGAATGTTTGTTAATGGATGTGTAGGATCGCTGTATTAGCTATCTAATAAGCGAATGCTGATTTGGCGATGATAGCGTCCTTTTTGTTAGGTGCCTTCGTTCATATTGTACTCAGAGGTTGAGTGTGGTAGTGTTATCATGTGTAGTGTTCTCAAATGTTTAGTGTGGTGTGGTGTATTTCATTAGGGTGTGCCAGTTTCAACCGAATAGAGTGGTGTGTATATGTAGGGGTGGCTTATCTCATTTAAACACATTCTATATAAAATTAATAAAATAACTCTAATAACTTAATTTATGTTTGATTTGTACAATGTAAAGTATGAGAATCAGATAGAATTTAAAAGTTTATAATTTGAAAAGTACGCGTGGTTGTCAACCGTAATCATTATAATAGTAATAATTGTATACCCTCACTTACCAAATTTGGTTTAAGTTGGTCGATTAATGCCTGAGATATAAGATTTGTCCAAAAAGTAGGCGGTGCCATGTCCATATTCTAATTTTTATGCCTGTTACCATAAAGTCCTTCCCTGCCATTTCCAACATAACCGTTATATGGGGGGTGGGCGTGATTATTACCTGACTTGACCATTTTCACAGTGTATGAAAAAGTGCTAAAGAGACTTTTTTTCAGCAAGTGTGGTTGAGGTAGCTTCAGTGGTTTAGAAGATACGTAAGTTTGACCATTTATAGGGCGGGACCACGTCCATATAATAATATATATTTTTAGCCCACAAGTGCCTCTCACTACTGTAATTTTCTGCAACATAATACATTATTGTATCTTAATTAAGTTATAACACTTTATAGGTTTTTGCTTAATGGATTACACCCAAGTGCCGCGCATAAATGTGTCAAGCTCCATCAAGATACCTCAATTTTTACTAGCATGGTATCGCTTTCACGGGCAGACGGAAGGACGGACGGACAGACAGACATCCGGTTTTCAACTCGTCGCGTTATCCTGATCACTTATATATGTATATAATTCCATATCTATCTCGATTAGTTTTAGGTGATACAAGCAACCGTTAGTTTCCCTAACTATATATACTCTGTTGCGAGAGTATAAAAATGTAACGAAACAATTCAACGTTTATTATAGACGAAGTCGTGAATAGAAATGTCTTATTATTATTATTTAAATTATATTAAAGATCATATACTCACTTAGTTTTATATATGTATTTTAATCGGGGTAACGAAAACTCTATTAAAATCATCCTTAAGTGAGAAATATGTGGTATAAACTCAACCGAAGAAGCTAAATTTAATATAATGAGTTGATGTAGAAGATGTCTACCAGAGGATCGGTACTCATTATATTAGGGATATGATGTTTAGAGTAAGGTCTAGACCAATTACATTCATATTCAGTGGTACTCGTAAACCACACAATTTTAAAGGAAACTGATCCATTTAATTTAATTGAAAAATCATACGATTTAAAGTCTGGTGGAAAGTCGGAAATATTATAAATGCTATATTTTCGACAGAGGAAGCTGACCGGCAGATTTCATTAATTGGAAAATTGCTGAGGTATACTTGAGAACATATTTTCAAGCAATTTTACATATATAAAACTCACACACTGAACAACTTATTCGTCATACAAGTATATGTTAGTCCGGGTAATTCGTGTAACTATATGGTATAAGTCTAACCGGAAGTTTGAGGATTGCATATTAGGTAAATGGGGTGTAAGGGATGTATTGACTCATTTTACCTATTACTAACTGTACTAAATAGTATTAATATGCCACATACTAATAATATGCTCGTTGAGTTTTATTAAGCTGCACTTACCATAACCAATGTAAGCGTTACAATACAACTTTTTTGGTAAAGAACATTTGTAGTGAACGAGTCTTAATTTTTTTCTATTTGGTTTGCATGACATCTGTCAAACATATTCAATAACTTTACAGTCATTAAACACACAACATCATATTTTTTCATTGTGTTGAAAATGTCAAATTTTGTACTGGAAAGTGCTGATTTGCGGAAAGCATTAATTTTTTGTTTCCATTTGAAGAAAAGTGCTGCAGAGTCGCATTGAATGCTGTCGAGGCATATGGTGATCATGCTTTATCAGAAGCAACATGCAAAAGATGGTTTCAACGGTTCAGAGATAATGATTTTGATATGAGAAATGAAGAACGTGGAAGACCACAAAAAAAGTTTGAAGACAAATGTGATACCGAAAAAACATTTGTAAAATTTTGCTTCAAAGACACGAAAGAACTCAGTTTTGCATCGAGTTGTCAATAGCGGTGAAGAATGGATTTATTTTAGGATCCTTAAACGGAAAAAATCATGGGTTAATCCGGTACAACCCCATCAACACTGACTGCAAAAATCGATCGATGAGAAGGGTGTAGTATATCAAGAGCTTTTAAAACCTGGTGAAACTGTTAATACTAATCGCTACACCCAACAAATGATTAATTTTATCAGCATGGCATTTACAAATTGAGAGAAAGTTGGGTCAAAATATGCAAAAGGCAATGGTCAATATTTTAAATAATTTTTTTTTACTTCCTCATTCAAAATTAGTACTTCATTTTCACAACAAATAATTTCATACTGGTACACCAGTATATCAACCAAAACTGAGAAGAAGTAATTTTATCGTCTCTTCAAACTCTCTGAAAAAGGGTACAATCGGATAATAACCGCGCCCACTTCCCAAATAACGGTTATGTTGAAAACTACTAAAAATACGATGACTTACTGAATATATGAGCCATAAGCATTAAATTTCACAACTAGTGTGGTAGAGAAGGGCTTATTCGATAGTGAAAATATGACAAAGGACGTGGCACTGCCCACCTTTAGTTGAAATCTTATATCTCAGGAACTATTCGACCGATTTTAACGAAATTTGGTGTGTGAAGTTACCTAAACATTTTAGATTCCGTCTGATTCTTTCACTTTACAGTATACAAATCAAACAACAATAAAGTTATCAGAATAAAGTTAAGCACAAATAGTGCCCTCAAGGTATTTCATCTTTCGTCCAAAAGTTGTCGAAATCGCACTAAAGTGGGTAAGAGCAGATCAACATTCCTTAGCGCCCATAAACCTAACATAAATATCTTCTAACTTACGGTTCACTTTATACCGCATATATCGGTGAATATGTAAGAAATCTTAATGAAGTTCAGAAAGAATCATTTTCTAGTAAGAGTGTCTCCTCTTTCCTTAAATGCATGATATCACAGCGATACTTTCCTTAGTTTGATATAGGGTTTTACTAAAACCAGAAGGTGTTCCAACGCTTTTATCCCTGGAAAGTTGTAAAAATATGAATGTTCGTTACACCGAACTTATATTCTTTTTATAATACATTTCTTAGGTCTAATAAATAACTAGTGTTGACCGATTTCATTTACTGTCAGCATTAAACTTAAGATTTAAAAACTTTTAATTTTACTGTTTCTGAGATTTCCTTCAGCAAGTTATGCTCTTTCAGTAGTATTGAATATATCTTTTTATTGAATAGTTATTATCGATTCTATACACCTGTACACCATATATTTGGACACTAACAACAATTGTTCATCAAGTGTGGTTGATTTAGTAGAGCACTTGATATAAAAGTAGTCACGATATATAAAATAAATATATTAAAGTTTTGCTTGCTTGTTTATCT